ACACTAATGCTTTCTTCTCAAAAGGCCTTCCTCTAGCTTTTTTCTCTTTAAGGGGGGGGGGGAATATGTAAGATAAAAAATATGTAAATCAGCTTTATAATTTAATTTAATAATAGCCTCTTAATTTCTCATTTTTAATTTGATTATTTCCTTTTTATTTTAAAAATAATAATGTTTAAGGACAGTATCACTTCTAGATTAATTTATGCCACAAAGCTTGCATATCGCTGATGACGTAGTTATTTTGGAACCTAAACTCTTGAGAACTGAAGCCTTTGTAAACCAAAACCTTCCTCTTAGGTGAGCTGCCTGATTATTTCGTCTGATAACATTTGGTCCAATAGTTTTCCCTTTTATGACCATTTCAAAGTGGAACTTTAATTATAACTACCAGGTAAATTAAATTTTAAAAGTTTGACAGTTTGGTTCATTTCCCAGCTTTAAAAATATATAAATATAAATTTTTATATTAATTCTCTTAGAAAGAATGTTTTAAGAAGCTAATTTTTCTCTTGCATTATAGATTGTATAAAAAACATGATCTTTAATATGATTTAGATTGTTTCAACCGCTATAAGAATTGGGTTCCTCGGTGGTACAGAATAAACACTGCTGGACTGTTTTATTTCTTTGTCATTTAGCAAAAAATATTTTAATTAAAATATTTATCCTTTGGTTTTTGCTTTAAACTTTTTATAGTTAAACCGCCTAAAATAACTGTAGAAGGAAAGAAGAAAATTAGGGAGAAAAATAAGCAAAAATTTGAAGGGAAATTTGGCTGTCAGACATACCAAGATGTTTCAAAAAGTTAGACACTTTTGAATATACTTTCAGAATACTTCCAAGAATTTAGGTATTCAAAGAGAAAAACACTTGGACGTGTACACCAGCAAATACCATCAATTCAGCTTGTGTTAACAGAAAAGACAAAAACGATATCATTGCAGATTAAAGTGAAGAGCGACTGGTTTTAGACTATATGATTGTATAAATTTAAATTACGTTATAGAACATCATATCATATCATAAATGGAGAATCCTATGATTTCTTAGTTGAATTATTTGAAGATTCAGGAGTTTATCCAGTGATGTATGTGGATGTCCCCTAAAAACTTTTTTTCCCCTCTTGATGAAACAGCGGCCGAGTGGTAAAGTCTCTGAACACTGGTAGTTCGGTACGAGGTTCGAATCTCGCGAACGGGCTCGCTGCATGGGCGTTTTAGTGGTTTTCTCCGTGTGTAACGTGTATACGAACCAGTTTCCCTTAGAAAGTCCTCCACGAAGGCATCCCTCCCCTTAGGCAGATAGCCTAGTGTGCTTTGCCATAATTAAATAAACCAAAATCTCTTGATGAAACTAGTCTTTCCTTTGATCTCATACCTTCAAAATGCTTAACCTCTAAAGACTGATAAAGGCTCTGACCAAACACTTGATGAAATGGATTGAATTGGATTATTAAGGTATGGCAAAGCAGGACTATCTTCCTAAAAGAAAGGATGCATTCGTGAAGAACTTTCTAAAGGAAACCAGCTGGCATATACGTTACACATGAGAAAAACCATGAAATCGGCCATGCAACCAGCCCGTTCGGCAGGATTCCAACCCCAGAGCGAACTACCAGTGTTCAGCAACTTTACTGCTCGGCCGTTTATGGGCTTTTATGAAATGGAAGACGATAACTTTATTTATAATGATTGTCAGATAAATGATGTCAAAATGATACCAAGATGTTTCGAAAAGTTGGACGCTTTTTAATATACTTGCAGAATGCCTGAAGAAAAAGAGAAGAAAAAATAAATTTTTGTGTAAAATTTAGTATTTGTATTTTTTTTTAAATCTTATGATATTCGATTCTTGCGATTTCAGAAATAAAATATTTGACTAAAATATGAATAACATTTTAACAAACCAAATGCAGGATGATAAAATTTTGTAAAGCAATGGGCACAGTGATAAAACTGTTTAAAGCAGTATATGCAAGTCATCCTAAGTTAAAATGTCGGTTATACATCTCTCTTATTTATATATCTTTTCTGAACGGAACATTGAAAGGTGTGTTAACTGTGCTTTACTTTATTTTCTCTTTTAATTTATGCAGTTTTCAGAGGCATCGTAGTCTGGGTTACAAAGTATTCTTCCAAAAGAAATGCAATTCAAATAAATAAAATCAAATGCTCGAAAACGTATATTAATAAATATATTTAAAATGCTCAGTTCGAATGAATAAATAGAAAATTTTAAAATAATTATCTGAAGAGACAATGCAACACTAACAATTAAAATAAAAGTCTAAAAATTTACCTAAAATAGTAACTATGACTAAAAACATAGTATAAAGAAAATTACTTGACTGCTGGTCCGCATTCAGTTAGTGTGTGTGCCTCGTCGAGAAGGCAACTGAGAGTGCCTCGCATAGAGTGCGAGTTAGTTAGTATCGAGTTGGTATCTAGCGAGTCAATCCCTGCAGAGTCAATTTAGTTGGCAGCCGTGCAGCAAGTGCCGAGTGGGTCGTCGAGTGCATCGAAGAGTCTCTTAGTGTATTGCGGTTAGTGCATCGAGAGAGCGTGTTGAGCTCCGAGAACGACTGAATCGAAGAGTCGGAAGCTGTGCTCGTGTGTCATCGAGTGCAACACGAGTTGTAGTGGGGAGAGTCTCGAGAGTACGTGGAGTTCCGAGAACAACCAAGCAGAGTCGGGAGCTGTACTCCGGAAAGCAGAGTCGGGTGCTTTTCAGGAAGCTGTCTCCACCGTTATTGCCTGACAGTGTGAAGGCTGTGTCGCTGATTGTTTTAGCGTGTTTATAGTAGATCTTCGACAACTGTAAAAATGTTTTGGAGCTCTCCTGATTAATATTGATAAATAAAGTGCGTTTCGATACTTCATCCAGTGTCGTCGTTATTCACTCCAAATCTAGGAACCCCATACGAACTTGAAAGAAGAAAATAACATAACAACTGGTGTCAGAAGTAAGAAAGAGTGCAACAATATATTAAGAAGTTCGCCAAGTGAACTATTCTTGACGCAAACTGAAAAAAAAAGGGGCAACATAAACAGTTGAATTTCTCCAGAAATTTCACACCAAATTTTACAAAATTTAAGTATCTAGGCATAATTTAAGTTGTAGAATCGAAATATGTAAAAAAAAAAATGGTATGTTATTTCAGAAAAAGTCCAACTTTGTGTCAAAATACTTATGTTAAAATAGTGTTATATATAAATCTAATATATATCCTAAGTTGCGATTTCGAGACATGAAGAACACAATTTGAATTTCGTGAATCGGCCCAGTAGAACAAGAGATATATAACTATCGCATTTTTTTTTTTAGCAGTGTACATACATATTTGAAATTCTTCCTTATTTCAGTATTATGCAGCTTTTGGAATTATTTTAATGTTTCCTTCCTTTTAACATCCTTTCCAAGATAATAATAAATACGAACAATGTGTTTGTTCTTCCACACTTATTAACAAAGAAGCTGACCCTTTTTCAACTGCTAAATTTAAGAGATGGCAGGTGCATTTCATTATTTGCAAAATATGAATTTACCTTTTTTAAAGATGCCTGCCTAACATTCCTGGTACACAGGCGGCACTAAGTGCTAAGCAAATTGTTCTGAAGAATTGCACTTTCTTTAAAGTTTTAATAGTTAACTGTGTTATATATTAAAGCCTGTCGAATCTCCTTCTAATGTGAGGACAGAGAGTAAACTACACTCAAATTTTTTAAGAATCTGGATTAGAAAAGAAGAAACAACAACTGGATACAGTTTTGCATCAGTATTATTGTTTCTATTAGCACAGAGGCAGAATGGAACTATTTTAATGCAATCAATAACTGAAGATTTATTTTTCATACTAATTTCTTGAACCCATTTCTTCTACAAATGCAGCTATTTTTATTTTTGCACTTGAGTATTTCTTAGAGTAAAGTCAAATTACTACCATGAAACATTTTTCTAAAAATATAAAAATGCTGGGGATAAAAAAGCTGCAGCATGATTCCATGCATTCACTGGGTGATTGTGTTCCAGTAAAATGGCAGAGGTCAGGCATTCTGCATTAATCACTTTTCGGTCCTTTGTTTCCACAGAAAAATTTAATTTTTTTTTCCAATACATTTCCCGTTGTCCTTGCGAACACAGATGTTTAAAAATATCAGCCCTTCAAATGTGGCAAATCAAAAAATCGCAAAAATAAGCATTACACATTGCAATATTACCTTTCTTTGACAAAATAATAGAAGTAGAATAGTCATATGTATATGATTTTCGAAAAGTACATGACTATTTTACATTTTTTACAGACATAACTAAAACAAAAGATCACAATTTCTTAAAGTGTTTCTGAGAAAGTCGTGAAACTTAACCTACTCATTGATGAGATGAACGAAATAAATAACCTCATTGGTTAACACATGCCAGATGACTCACAGCAGCACTTGATTCTCATTGGAGAACTAGAACATGACATTTTGGACTCTCACACACAAAGCAGAAACATGATATATCTAACTAGTAAAACGACTTTGATTTTCTTTAATATATATCTAGAGGAAAAAACAAGTACTTTCAGATGCCAAAAATTGCTTATTTGGGTGCAAATAACGAAGTATTAAGCCAAGCTACACAAAAATCATAAGAAATTTTAAAAATAAGAGAAAATCAAGAGAAATGTGTCACAAATCAAGTTGGTGGGAGTTATGGTTGAAAATCAGGAGAGCTGGCAACGCTGCTATAGTCAGCATTTATCACTTATATTGTAAATAATTTTTTATAATATTTTTTTTAAATATATCATTATAGTTTGTCTGAGATTACCCATAAGCCCACCTATTATATGAATGCAATGTAGTTTAGGAATAGCTGAATACATATATAATATTTTCGATAGCATTCTAAATTAATTTTTTCACGTGAAATACGAACACGAGAAATAAAGATAGTTAATACATTGGTATTATCATCTGTTTAAATAAAAAGAGAGAGAGAGAGAAACTTACTTATTTTCACATGAAAAATCACAAAACACATCATATTTAGCATTATAAAATCTCAAGATAGGACAACGAGCTTTTATAAGAAGTATGGGTTCTTTAACATCAGGACAATGTCGACGAAGTATCCTTCGTACAAAACGAAGCATGTATGGAGGATTCATGTAAGCAACTACCTCTCGAGGTATTGTACCCTCAAGAACTGAGTCTAAAGTTGGCACAGCTTTCAAAATAATATAATCCTGGGGATAAATACCAAATAAAAATTAGCAAATTAAATAAGCTGTAATAGTTAAAAAATTACATCAGGTACATCTTTCAGCACATTCAAATACAGCCAAAACAAATAAATATAACACACACTTTTTTAGCATGTCTTCATTATCACATAAATAAAGCAATTACCCCTTCTATTTTTCAGCTTTAAAATGATCTTATATTATAATAAAAAACTGTTTCCAAGCTATTTACATATACACAATAATGATTCTCCCAAATTCATTAAGAGCTTGCAAAAGAATATAAATAATTTCTACATTTCAAATGGGATAGTATCAAATTTCTCATAACTCAAGTAATTGACTGAGAATAAACTAACTGACTTTTATCTACAGTCAAAAGTCTTTAATCCAGACTCGTCCGGACTTCGGCGATTCCGGATTACCGGTTTTTCTGGATTATAGATCATCAATTTAAATTTGGTAAGATGGCTTGCAGAAATTATAAAATTAAAAATATGAAACCGTAATTTATGAAATAAAGAGCAATTATGATCTAAAGGGTATCAAAATTTACAAAAAAAAACTTAATATTTATTTGTTTACTTTATTAAACATTTCTTTCAATGTACGCATGCGTAAAGCATACATTACGCATAGTCGAAATTAGAAAATTGCAACCAGAAAACTATTTGATGTGTATTCGTGATATTTATAATGACGAGGAATTTGATTTAAATCATATCAAAGACGGAGTACATCGAGATGAAATACTACATTTAGTAAGGAATTATAAGCCGAATAAAATAAAAACATCTGCCCTGAAGATAAGGATAGTGCTGACAGATCAACTTCCAGTTCATTGCGCGTCGCGACGTTCTCCCCCCGCAGAGCAGCGTGAAATTGATAAACAGATTTCGGAATGGTTAGAGAAACAAAGGATATGCCTTTATCCATTTTTTTGCAGCAATTCCACTTTTTGTTTGATGGACATCGAAACATGCTTTCGCTTTGTAGATCCTTTGGCAGCTCCAGAATCGGAAATTCTTTTTGACATAATCGAAAGTTCAAGCTTACTTTTATAAAATTGCTCTAACAGTCTGCAAAAAATAATAAGCCGGATCCAATTAGAAGATTAAGGAACAACGCAATCTGCAACATTAACTGAAATAGGATAATTAGATAATTTTACCTTAGCTACCGTCCATTATACATTAAACGTGCATGCGTAAACGTATTATGCGCATGTATAAAGGTATTACGTGCATGTGTTGACGCATGCGCAGAAAGTTTGTAGCTTTGAGGTCCAGATTATGGACGTCCGTATTAGACTTTTGACTGTATAATAGAATAAATGAAGAAAGGAATTTTAAAATATTCACTATCTTTACTTAATTATCCTACTGCACTGAACTAGATCAGATTATATCATTATAGTGACAGAAGTGGAAAAAACTGAAATTGCTTAAATATTTAATTAATATTCAACAGCACTTACAAATTTAATTTAATATTAAACTTTTTCAAAATCCTGAAAAGTGCAAAATATTAAAATTAGATTTTGCAATTCAGCCTACTGAAGTGAATACCACAAGTTTTTTAGCATCTACAGATATATAATAACAGAAATGTTCCCTATTCATGAATTTTCTAGATTTTTCTTACACCACAATCACCTTGTTGCTAGACAGTTATGAGGAAACGTTACAAATGTAAAATATATAATTAATATGTTGAAATAAACATTTTTTTTTTGTTTCTCTTTAAATTAAGAATTCCATATGAGTACATATAATCTTTATTTCAATGTTCATATCATATTGAATTAGAGTAAATTTTAACATAAATAGCATTAAATTTATTTCTATAATATTAAACTCCCCCTTGCTATTGTATCACATAAAGCAAATTTTTAAAAATAAGTTAAGTATGAATCAGAAACCACCAGTACAGAAGCTTGACCACTGCTAATGACATGTGCATTCTGTTTTGTAATTATGCAACTTCTTATCCAACTAAAAATATACAGATGTTGCAAAGATTATAAGAAAATCAGGTGAATTTTCCGTTAACAGGGTACGACTTAGTGCCAAACATAAATGTTGGAGTGAAATCTAACTAGATAGCTGCAACCCTAATGATACATAAAGTTTACAAAAAAGAATAATTGTTATATAGATAATGAAATATACCATGTTTCCCTAAAATAAGACCCAGTCCTCTATTAATTTTGGCTGTAAAAAACATGCTAGGGCTTATTTTCAGAGTATGTCTTATTTTTCATGCACAATAATTAACCTTTAATCATGTTTAAAGAACACATTTATTTAGGTTCAAGTAATATATTTACCCACATTTAAGGGGAAAAAAATTGAAAAAAATCATCCTAATGCAGCCATGTCTTCTGGAATATCGTCACAAAGCTCCAAATCACAAATTCTGGCCTGAATTTTTTGTGACTTCATTTCCTCTAAGATAATTGGCTCTAGCCTCATGCAATACAGCTCACCTCAGATGAACTCTTTTTATACATGTAGCCTGCTCGTAGAGCACTGGCAACAAAATTATCCGTTATTTTATCCCCGGCATTCTTCATTCAACTCAGGACTTCTTGTAGCTTAGATTTCACAAAGATTACTTGTTGATTTCTCTCCATTCTATTTTCAGTGCAATTACTTTAAGTGCATAAATGGTCTTTAATGGCTTGTTTATATCAGAGTTTGGAGATATGTAGTTATTCCTGCGGAATCCTTATTTGATGAATTATTCCTTCTGTTTATTGTTTTAGTTTTATGTTAGTTTTATGGTTTTAGTGCACTGAATGCTGGCAGAATTTTACACTAACAAGTAGCAGAAATAACCTGACTTGCTATCTTATTGTTACTTGTGTGAACCAAACTTTTTCAGTTTCAAGAACATAAATACCTGAAACACATTTGATTTCCTCTTGCTTGTCCTTAGAGATGATTAGAGAGGGTGGGATTCTCTCCATCAAACTGAATTTCAAAAATGCACGTAATGCATACCCTTTCACAACCAGTAGAGAGAATAATATTGCTAAAGTATCTCTTGGATCAATGGTAGTTTGAGACCCTTGACTCATAAATACTGCCGTTCCATTCATAGCAATCAAGTTTGAAAGCTGATACAAAAGTCAATGCCAATAACAAAAGATGCAAGTGCATATTTAATCACTTCAGTATCTTCCAATCTGAACAGTGTTGTTGGTCTTTTTAGAGATAGTTCTTTCTTACTGAAGGAGGAAGCCATCGATTCAGTGTTGTGATGCTTCGAATTCGTCTGGTGATATGTCTAGCTGTGATGCTTTTGCAAGAGCAAATGCTTGAATATCAGCGTTTGCGAACAACCAAACATTCTGCTTTTCTGTCAGCAATCCATCCACAGATGATGTGTTCCAATTCTAGAAATAATGGTTACTGATCTGATCCACATTTATGTTTCTTGGTATTTCCCTCATTAACTGAGCTTACTGTACTCTGATGGCCATTTTCAGATAATTTGTAGATCCGTTTTATACTCTTTGCAGAGAGCTGTAAGATTTTTCCCCTTGAATCTTCTACAATTCCTTTCTTGTACTCAACGGAATAGTATTTTCTTACTCCATTCATCAGGCTTGCCACGCTATCTGTAGAAACGGAAAACGTCAGAGAATTCAAAAATTGACCAAAGAAGTCACGGAATTTAAATATTTTAGTCAAAATCTGGAAAAGTCAGAGAATTTCTTATTGCAATCCAAAAAAAAAAAAAAAAAAAAGCGAGTTTTGCACCAACTTTGGAAGTGACCACTTTCTTGCAGAATTATGTATCTCGTAAGCGTCATTCAGCCAGCTGGCGTAGCGTCAATTTTCCCAGCTCCAATCAAATTGTCTTATAGAAAGGCAAAGCAAGTTTGCAGCAACTTTGGTTTCCAGTAACCTCGAGAATTGAGTGCACATGTGCTGTGCATGTTGAACTAAAGGACATACCTTCCCATTCAAAATTGGTTTAATCCTAGTATACAGTACACATGGGATTTGGTAACATTATGATAAGCAGTAAATTGGTCATTTTGGTGTTGGCGACAATTTTCAAAATTGTGCCAATGCCGTAGCATATAATAGGATTTTACCACAAAATCTTTTAAACCTTTTTTTTTTTTCCTTTTTAATAAATGCCTTATCATTTTCCAGTGAAATTAAAAATAATAATCAATCATCTTGGCTAACAATTTAATATAACTAGATTCATCAAAATATCGTTGATTATTGTAATTCAATTTGAAGTGATTAACTTCACTTTAATGTTATTCGCACCATTTAATGTGACTTCTTTTGTCTAAATTTATTTATTATTAGTTAATAATACTTTCAAAATTCGGCAATTTTCTGTGGCATAATCCTGAAACTAATTCCAGGAGTATGATGACATACCATCACAAAATTTAATTAACATATTTTTAGCTTGTGTACGCTGTTCGTTTAGCTGCAAAATGTCTGCAAAAAAAGATACTTTAATCCAGACTGGGCAGATTCTCAATCTTCAGTGGAGAAAGCATCTCCTATTATAGTTATAATAGTAATGCTTTGGAGATTATATATATGTATATAAAGTCATATGTAATTGGCAAATTTTTGTGTTTTCAAGTGGTACCATAATTAATTTACCTCTCAGAACAGCCACCGCTAATTACGCAAATGGACTGGAATTTTCTTAAAACACACCTGGAAAAGTCAGAGAATTTCATTCTCCTGTTCCAATGGCAAATCAGAGAGTCAAAATTTATTATTAAGTCAAGTTCTAATTTTTCATTGTTAATAAGGCATATTGAATATTGAATACTGAAGATTCTAACTTGTTTCAACCACAGCCATTTTTTTCAAATATGTATGTGTGTTGCACCTACACTTAGTCACTTGGCAATTAGGCGCCTGTCTGGCTACGATCTTAACTACAGCTTATATTAGGAGTATCCTGAGAAATCATGCTAGGGCTCATTATTATTTTTTTATTATGTCTTATTTTCA